TTACACTCATCGAGACCTTTCGTTTGAGTACCCACATCAATTTTTCATATATTACATGTATGTATATATGAAAAATATATGAAAATGCATGTGTATACTCAAATGAAAGCTCTTGATGAGTGTAACATCAGGACGAGCTTATATCTTTAAAAATGTCAATAATTAACAAATGACCTTGTATCTTGTGCACGATTGACATTTTTCAAGATATAAGCTCATCTCGATGTTACACTCATCAAGACTTTTTATTTAAGTACCCACATGCATTTTGATATATTTTTCATATATACATATATATAATATATATAAATATATGAAAAATTGATGTGGGTATTCAAATGAAAGGTCTTGATGAGTGTAATGTCGGGATGAGCTTATATCTTTAAAAACGTCAATAGTTAAAAAAGTACTGTGCAATTTATCAAAAGTCATTATTTAATAAAGCAAAATTTTATTTATTTATTAAACCTTTAAATAAGGCTAAGTAAATATTAACAACTTCTGTAATAGACAGTATTCTAAATTGATAAAATTTTGTCTGTTATGCATTTTCGTATAAATGCAACATTTAGAAACTGAAAAAATAAAAAATAAAACGCAATGATGTGAAGCCGAGAACGAAGAAAAGGACGAAATAGGTAACGCCCATCGTGTCTGTTCGATCGACTGGAAATTATATAGATCCGGAAATTCACCGAGATTGCTTTTACTTAAAGATTCAACTATACTGGAAAGTACGTCGTCTAGAATAGTCGAACGTTTTGAGCGAGCATTCTGCTGGTTCTGGTTCCAGTACCGAGACTGGAACTGGAACTTGGTTGGTACCAGTCTTACCAAACTATCGAGACTTTGTGTATCCTCCGATGTACTTGGAAGCACATAACTTTCAATTGTATATCTATATACTTCTGGTGAATTGGGCTCTCGGTGTGCATTCCTATTCTCATTCCTATTCCTTTAAGGAGAATACCGGCTCAGCCATTCATAGTTTTCTACCGATGAGCTTAAAGCAGGAACGCATACACCAGACGGTAGGCGCCAACTTTGTCTATGAAGTTGTACAAAATGTAGGCATAATACCGAATCAATACACATTGGTATTTCTATTGAATTCTTTGGCCCTTTACTCTTTTGTTCTATTGTATTATTCATATTTATATCTCTTTATTTTACATACATATTTCCAGTAAATATTTCGTTCAGCAATGAGGTTTTATTGAAGTCTATTAATTCAAGCTTCTTGCTTGTTATTAATTTGATCACAAAGAACGCAGGATATTTTTTTTTCAAACTCATAATGTCTTTTTTAAATTAACGAGTGAGTAGCTTCGTACTTCAAAACATAAATTACAAGATCAAAAGAAAATTATTCTGCAACTTACAATTTTTCTTCCGTATAAAAACAGCAGATCTTGTTGATTAACGTTCGGCTGTTAGAACGTTTCAGCGGACAAATAGCATAATATTTTTCCACCCCGTTGACTTTTTCCTTGGATGCATAAGCGAGCATATGATCGATAGATCGATACTATTGTACCAACTGGTGATCTATACCTCGCTGAAGGGCTGCGATATTGCAACCTTGGTTTACCTCGATCATGTGGCTCAAGTAAATTTTACATTGGCTATTTCACATGAACGCGGCAACGGAGAGTGACTATAGGAAACAGCGGAAGAGCAAAATGATGAGCTCTAGCTCTACTCGAGAAATACAGGACCTGTGTATTCTGATAGAACGGAAATAACTGTCGAAGAATCGAATCACTCGACCGCATGACCACCTTTTTTTTCTACTGATATTTTTTCTACACAACA